TTACTTTTTTTCAATCCCATCTATAAATATATTAAACAACCAGGTGACACCCAACTCCTTGTCTAAGGGTACTTTTACGGGGAAAAAAATTTTCCTCTTTCCTACTCTCTAACTTGAGCCTCACTATCCTCGTAAAAAAACTCTTCACTGCTTTCAAAACCCTACCCCTCCCAAAAACATTGCAATCTGCCCCTTTGCCCCCTTCACCTGTATACGCCTTTTCCCAAAACCATAAATGCCCCAAAAAACCTCTTTAGCCCTTTTCTAAAAATACTGTTCAATTTTTGTTTCACTGTAAAACCCGGTCCCCACACCCCCCACCTTTCCCAAAAAACCCCCTTGTTCATTGCTTCCTATTTTCGTTTATCTTAATTTTTCTTTTAAAAACTACCTACTTTACCAGGGGATACTCAAAAGATTACCCCTATAATTTTTTCACTTTTTTATCCCCCTTTTCCCTTTTACAAAGGAATATGCATGCTCTTGCCAATCCCTGGTACTACCCTTTCATAATTTTTTAAATAAATTTCACCCAACACTCCCAAAATATATCCCCTGCTTTTAACATTTTTATCTTTATCCATCAATCCCAGTGCCTTACCCCTTTCATTTTACCTAGCCCACAATTCCCCCCCCCTACAATGGCTCTTTACTCCCACAAGATGTTTTTCTCCCGCCTATACCGAATCACAGCTTCCCCATCTTCATCAACATTTTAAAAATTCCTCAAAATATTCCCTATTTCCCCTACCTCTAACTCTATTTAAAAACTTCCCCTCCCATTTTTAATGACAATCCCTTTGTTTCTAGGCTTTTAACTTGTTAAAACCCTTTCAGGGTCCAAGGCCAAAAACTGAAGTCACGCACCGTGTCAAGAAATTTTGAAAAAAAAAAAAAAAATTTTTTTTTTTTTCTTACAGAATTTTAAAAGCATATTTTTTTGAAGGTAAAAAAAAAAAAAAAATTGAATTGATCGTACTTACGAGATAATGCCCGAAGTTTGTAGAAATGATGTGGTTGGCGGGGAACTCGAGAATTCACATCCGTTTATATTATTTGTTGTTTTGTTGTTTTTTCTTTTCTTTTCCCAATTTTTTTTTTTCCTCTAACTTTGGGGCTGAGAGACAAATGTAATAATTTTTTATAAAACTCATGTATTGAACACAATAACCCCATAAGTTATTATCATATTATTTTTTACCCCTGTTGTTTATTTACATAAACATGCCAAATATTGTATAATACTTTTTTTATCATTATTTTAAAAATTTACAATCATGGGGCAGGTTTTTGAAAATGTGGAGTTTTGGAACTCCTTGAAACAAGGCCCATGCACGGGCCCTTACATTCCTCACATAAACGGTGTCTTTGGTCTTTTTTGCCCTCGTTTTTTTTGTGCACA